ATGGTTTGGACATGTGCAGAGGAGGGATAGTGGTTATATTGGTAGAAGGATGTTGGAGATGGAGCTGCCAGACAAGAGGTCCAGAGGAAGGCCAAAGAGGAGATATATGGATGTGCTAAAAGGGGACATGAAGTTAATTGGGGTGAGAGTAGAGGATGCCGAGGATAGAGTTAGATGGAAATAGATGATTCGCTGTGGCGACCCCTAACGGGAACAGCCAAAAGAAGAAGAAGAAGATGCTGCATACAGTATAAGCAAATGTAGACTAGACAATTTCAGAGACATTTACATACATGTACATCAAATAAATCCAGAAAAAGAAATCAATGTCATGCCTGCAACACTGTAAGCAAATCACTACAATTAGTCATTGGTGGAGCAAACTTGGATTTCTAAACATAAATGGAGAGTGGGAGAACAAGACGAGCAGCAATATTAAATGACTTGCAGAGGAATTTAGCTTTGAAAACCAATGTTTATACTTTCTAACCTCATCTGCTGCTAACAGTGCTAGCTGCTCCTCTAGCTGCTCCATCTTACTTTCCATTTTGAGCATGCATCTTGACTTCAAGTCGGATCAGCCAAGCAGCTTGCTTAACATCTGCACAGTGCATTGTTGACATTTGGGAGGTGTGTGCAATAGCTCCTCTGCAAGCCTCTACAGCCTACAGTTACCCTTAACACCCCTGTCTCCATAGGTCTGCATAGACATTTACGTGTATTTTCAGAGAAGCATAAATCCAGCTTTAGAGGTGAGCAGCATGGTATCAGCCAGGTGTAAAAGGTAAAAGCAACATGGTAGAGGGACAGAGTAGGAATAAAAAAGTTTGTTGGAAAGCAGCAAACTGAGTCCACTACTGAGTCTACTAATGGAACATACAGTCATGCCAGCTCTGCTTTTACTGACTGAGCCAAATGAGTCCTGCCAAGAGCCTGCTGCAAAACTGTCTCATCTGACAGAAGTCTTCTGTGTTTCTTTTTTTCTTTCTTTCTTTCAGGAGCCTAGATGATGAGCTACCTCACACGCGTCGTTCTCGTTCCCCGACCCGCTACTATGATGCTGCCAGAGGTCACCAGCAGCGGGAAGAGTACCTCGATGACAGGTGTGTGTCTGTGTGTGAGCACTGCTTGTGATACATCCAGTTAAAATAAATGTCAGTAGAGCTGTTTCCAGTGTTTGTCAAAAACAACATTCTCTGACTGTATGCTTTCTTTGTGTGTTAGAATTATCGCTTGTTTGAATTATTGTTTGCACAGTACATTTGTGTCTGCTACACACAGATTCTGTTTTCACCTGTAACTGCGAATGCCTGACATGAGTATTGCTAAAACTTTATCAAAAAGGCCAGAAACGTCTGATTTTGTTTTTCTGCCTGGTACTTCACCATATTTCTCTTTTTCATGACATAGTTTTCTTTGGACCTCAAGCCAGGTTTTGTGCAGTAGCTATTCGTTGACTGTCATATTGTATAAAGTGATTTTCGAGCAGTGTTTAGACAAACAGGTATTGGTTGCAAAATTCTGTGGCATTTAATGTGTGTGTGTCATGTGTGTATAGCAATCAACAACAGCTTCTCTTTCCTATTCACGCTCTTCTCCTTCTGCTCTTCTGGTTTTTTGACTGTTGTTTATTTCCTCATGTGTCATCCATCCCCATGGTAACCACAGTGAGATCATCATGATCCACCACTCAATGCGAGGCAAAAGTGCTGAATGCCTCCACACCAGGTAAACTAGCCAATCATTACATACAACTTTCTTTAAAACAAAGTTAAAATCCATCACAAAAAATACTGTTTACGAAAAGAGCGGGAGTAATAGTAGAAAAATATTCTACTGAAATTAGAACACTTTTATTTGTTTTAAAAAATAAAACACACAAAGTAGAGGTGAAATTTTGGACTTGGCTGACAATAGTTGAAATTTTTGTTATTGTTAATAAATCTCATGAAAACACTAACAATGTAGCATTGGCCATCTCCGATACTTTTTGTCTCTTCTACCCAGTCCTTGACTCTCAGCCTCACCAGTTTGCAAACAAAAACTTTTGAAACCTGCTCAGGAATATGTGGTTGTATTTTTAAAAAGGGTAGAAAAATCCTTTAAAGTGCTTGACTTTGAAATTTTAGCATATCTTACTTAGGTTTTCATCACACATTTGGTGCGCTACTAAGTATTTCAGGCAAAAGGTTGGCATATGTGGGATGAGTCCAAATAAAATATAGTGTACGTGTTCATAGTAATAAAAGATTTAACCCAGTGCAATTCAGCCACTCACTGATATGTTTTTGATTGTTTTTGGTGAACAGCTTTATGAACAGAGGCATATGATTAATCAGGCTTTGAATAACCACACAATACTTATTTGTATAATAAGTTTATTGCTGGTTTAGCCTTTTCATGGGGTTTGTTGATAGTAAGGCTTGTCCTTCAGAGAAGTCCACCAAAAGGTCAAGTAGCTTCAGTAAAACATTTAAGCTAAATGGATTGTTTGGAAAGTAACAGTTGGTAAATAATCAAACAGAAGTGTTTACTTTCTACTTTCTAAATAATATAAATGTTACAAAATAGACTGAACCATAATGGCAAGCAGATCAGCTTGAGTACAAGAAGCCAAAGAGTGGATTTTAGGGAATACTGTTTGTTCAGCTGTACTACTGCCTCTGATCCACAAGAGGACAGCACAGGACTGTGCTGAGTCTCAACTGGCTGCGACCAGGTCAACAGTGTGGCATATAAGGGCTAGAAGGACTGCAAAATGTCTGTTCAGCTATGAAAAGATCTATAAACATTATTTTTGGCCCTCTACTAGTGATCGACCAGTGATTATCTGCCAATTCTGTCTTTGCCCCTTGATTAAAATAAGGTATTGTCTTTGCACTCTTTTCCCATATCCTGATACAATTTGAAATATCAACACATTAAACTTTTGTGCATCACATTTACTGTAGTCATGTCTACATTAGTCTATGGAATTGTTTTGGCACACAGCCAAAGAGGTAAGTTTTACTCCTGAGAATGCATCTGTGTGTCTTACTAGAGGCAGATAAAACCTCTCTTATACTTATAGAATCATATCTCTCACCCACTGGTGGCATGCCCTGATAGTGATTATAGCATATGCTGAAAAAAACTTAGAAAAAATCAATTGGACTAGATTTCTAGGTCGAAGACGTTTCACCTCTCATCCAAGAGGCTTCATCAGTTCTCTTGTCTTTGACCTAGAAATCTAGTCCAGTTGATTTTTTTCTAAGTTTTTTTCAGCTTACTATGACCTGGATGACTGAGAATCTGCACAGATTGTAGAATGTAGCATCTGCATATGCTACTTCATCCATGGTGTGAGTCTGGCCTATGTTGCATGTCTCCCCCTCTATACCTCCCCATGTTTCCTATCTGCCTCTCTGAAACCTTTTGTCAAAATAAAGGCAGAATGCCCCCATAATACAGGCTGTTAATGCTTTAAATACTCATGGATGTGTTTGAGGGAGGAAAGTGTTTATTAGTGTAGTGATGAGAGCTGGCTTTTGATACTTGTGTGCCTGTCATACTGTGCTAAAATTCAACAAATTGTCAGTACATTGCAAATACCTATCCAGTGATTTTTGCAAAGAATTCACTGTTTAGAAACATATTGGACAACAATATAACCTTTGAGAAAAAATACTGAATGTCCTGAAACTGTTTAAAAGTAACAAGCGACTAAATCACCTGATGGGCAAAGCCAATTTGATCTCTTTGAATAAATGTAACATTCAGATTTGCTAAGTAACATGCACAATCACTGGTTAAGTGGCACTTCTTTTTCCTTATGTCTGTTGCCCAAACACTCCCACACACTTATTTGTCCTGCTTTTGTCTGCTGCATGCACACTAACATCAGGGGGGTCTACTAGGCACAGTAATATACTGCCACCTAAGATGCCACTTTTGTTCACTGGTATCCTCAAACACACAAACAGGTAAGGCTTCAAATAAGGGATCAGTATGGTTCATATGAACAGTGTTTATACTGTATCTGGAGATGTCTTCCTCACTGTGTTTCTATTTCAAATTAGTTTCTTTAAAAGATAATATCAGAACAGCACAGCACTCTCCTGGATAATGTAAAACCCTTCAATATGAGTCAGCTTCCTCAACAGTTAAATCTTTAGCTTCTGAAGTAAAATGAACATACAAATGCAAACAGATTGAACAGTTATTCCCCAGAAAGGTATTAGTGCAAAAAACACTTGAGAGATTTCAAATGGTAAACCCTGCCTACTTTCACACCCTTGCATACTTGACCAGTTGTGGTACAAAGCGAGTGTGGTCATCAGATTATATAACACAAGTTGTCTTTCAGACACTGTTAGACAATCAGACAAACACTTTGTTTGAAGCATACCGAGGCCTGTAGACATTTTTGGTGCCAGTATGAATTTTTTCCTCCACCAATGGAGAGGCAGTTCAGGATTTTGTTATACTGTATTTGGAGCTTATTAATATTAGATTTAGATTTATATGCAAAGCTGTGCATATTTATAGTACAGATGGAGTGACACAAGCATTCAATCTTCATGCACTTCTGACCTTCCTTTTATGTGAGTATTTTCCACAGCAGGGGCTTTATAGATGAGTTTTGATCTCAGCTTCCTTTCCTGTATTTTGTTTCATTTGCAAATGCATGCTGTTTTAGAAAATTTCATCCTGTGACTATTTCCACACTGCCTGCATGTCAGAACATAAGCTCTGTCATGGGATCCCAACATCACACACAGCTTTCTGATGTTCACAGACATTGTGACAGTTAGGTAAGACACACGTGCACACACATTATGATTAATGGTTAAAGGTTAGGAGAAGAGTGCAGAACCTTCCATCCTTTGTCATGGCAATCAAAAAACACGTTTCCTATCACATCCCATCTCCATGACAACCATGACAATTTAGACAGTCCCATCATTACACAGCCAGTCAGTTATGGTTTAGTTCTCAGACTAGTATTTTGATTTTGAGAATATAACCACACTTTCTTTTAAAATATTTTTTTCTGTTTGTCCATTGTTTTTCTCTTTGTTTTTTCTGTCCTCCCCTCCTGTCTCCTTTTCCTTTCTTCCTCCTCTTCCTCCATTGGATGGCATGTTGTGCTGTGGTGCCTCTAGTGATCTTCAGCCTTCTCTGGACAGGGTTAGGAGTGCTAGCGCCCACTGTCTGACTCCAGACAGTCATGCTCATTCACCAGAGACTGAAAGGTACCAGCCTCTGTATCCACCACCCCCTCCTGTAGTTACTTGATCTCAACCCTTCCTTCTCTTTGTAGTTCGCTTTCCCTTCTGAATGGTTCTGATGATCATGCTTCACTCTCTCCTCACCCTACACCCCTGCTGTACACAACACTCTTTAAACCTGCTGATCCACCCAGCAGCTCCTGTGCTTTGCCACAATAATCAAGTTGTATATGAAGGTGCAATGATTGTTCAAAGCTGTCATGACTAGATAATCTATTAGCAAGTACAATTGTTAATATTTTTCTTTGTACAATTGCTTAATTTTAGAAACTAAATTACATGTAATTAGGTATAGGACACCAGAGATGCATCATTATACTGTTATATAATTTAGTGAAACATCTCAGCAATACTGCTAGCAGTGTCCAATAACATCATTGGTGTGATTGTCACGTTTTTCAGAGGCTACCACTGACAGTAAAGTTCTGATGTTTTATTAGTTGTCTTATTTTTGTAAACCTGAAGGGAGCACCTTTTAGCAGTCAAACAAAGACCCAGTAAAACTAGTGGACCGGACTCCTCGTCTGTTTAGCTCTAGTCCATGGCTTGTATATGCACAATATAACTCTGCTACAGTCCTTTGCTAGACCATCATATTCTTTAAGTATAACACCCAGCAGGTAACAACGTTAAGTTCAAGGTTCCGGCACTCCAGAAAATCCTATAGACAGATAGATGAACTCATAACACTGACTGTGAAAGAACCCAAAAATCCTGCACACTAAAATTTAATTAATGAATTTTAGTGCTTTCACAGCTATTATGTATTAATAAGAATCAGATATAAAGACATAAATGAATGCAAAGCATCTGAAAGAGACAGAATATTTAAAGTATTTTCCAGTCAATTCTCTTCAAACAAACAACCTTTTTTTGTTGTGGCATTTTTTCTGTATTTGATGTTGCAGAGTTCAACAGTGCTGCAATATAAACTTTACTAAATAGCTTGAGTTTGAATAAATCCAAGGTGATCATGGTGTAAAGTACTGTAATTTTTGCATATTTAAGCAATAAGCGTAGTATATCATGATGGACTGATGATTAGGATGATTAACACCTACTGTGGTACCTTTGGCAACAGCAGGTTTATCCCATGAAAATGTGATACCAACACATTCCTTCTAGACACCTTCGTTGATCCTTTAACTGTATGAGCACATGTGAACATAAATGGCACCCTCACTACAGAACTGGTGCACCTAATTGCTTTACCAAATGCCATGGAGTACTGTAACTAAAGATGAATCACTTCATCACCCAGAATGTATTATCCTGCTTAGCTTCACATAGACCAATTCTCAGCACAACTGACTTTTCAAACGCTCATTTGTCAGCTTCACTTCTTAGTAATACCAGCATAACCATTTTTATTGTAACAGAATTCTGTTTATTGAGACTGAGATATGAGATATCAGCAGTCTAGTTTCATCCACTGCTTGATCAACCATTATCCACAATAGAATTAAAATACCTTGATCTATCCTAATAAAATGCTTACATATCATACAGTGTATGTGTTGAAAGAGTTGTTGGTCACTGTAATTATTCATCCTGTCCATACTGGCCATGAAGTAATACTTCTGTAGTATGACTATGTTATAAAGGATGTGGTCAATTTCCACAGTCCTCATTCCATTCAGTTGGTATCTTCATCCCGGGAGTCACATGTAGGTTTATTGTTGGTGTTTTGTTCTACAACTATCTACAACTATGTGATGGACAGGGCATCGTTGAATGTTTCCAGCCCAACAAGAAAACACAAAATGGGTTTTTGTATTTAAAGAACTGCAACTACAAAAGATCCCCAGATAGCCAAATATTTCCCTCAGGAGTGGATGAGCTAAAAAGCTAAAAGGATTCTGAATATTAGTCCCACATTTGTTGGGTGGCCTGAAACATGAGGCCATATTAATACTAATGTTGCTTTGTATCTGCTGGACGTGGAAATAGCTAATTGCTAACACATTCGCCACCTCAACTTAATAAGGTGATAATATGTTAGAGTTGTGTTTACAGCTTGTTCCAATGCCACCGAGTGGCCAAAAAATACTTGCAGCCATGGCAGGCAACAAAGAGACTTTGGCAGTTTTGTATCATCTATCTAATAATAGAACAGAATGACTTTCTGATTTTGTAATAACTTGCTTATTTGGTCATATGGGTGATATATTTTGTATGTGTACACATAGAAAATCTTTGCCAAATTCCCTGCCCCGGAGGCGTCCGGCAAGTCCCAGGATTCTTATTCAACATGCTTCCCCTGAAGAAGACAGGTACCCTTGTGTGGACCTCCAACTGCTTCCTCCTAGAGCTTGACTTATGCCTTGAATTCTGATGCCATTATTGCATGACCCCAATCCCTGAAGTTTTTTGTTGAATAATATGGGACTGTAGAAATGCTTTTTCAACACAGCAATGTATTGCTTTTTTTCAGTAATGTAAGGAAGATTCTCTTAAACCAGTCTGAAATCCTTTTGGTTGAGTTGGGTCTTACTGGGCTCAGGCAGACGTCAAGCTCTACCTTTTATTTGCAGCTAACACCAATCTCTTTGCACATTTCTAATATTTCTGTGAATATCAAGTTTTGAGTTGCAACCTAAACTTTTCCAACTCTGTTTATTCTGATAAAAGTGTAGTAGACTATCTTGTATGACGCAAAACTTATAATTTATTTTAATTTCACCAAAGTTAAAACTTTAGAAAAGGGACTCATTTTCAGATTTTCAAATGCCTTTAAAGAAATAATTCAATATATTGAGGAACATGCTTACTCATTCCAAAGGTTCGGAACAGCAAGCAAGATGATAATGTGTTAATTAATGAGCTTTAGAGCGGCTGGTAGGCAAATTTTGTTATGTGAAACATAGCCAGGTTAGCTGTTTTTCTCTATTTGAAGTTTTTATGCTCAGCTCTGCTAATGCCTTCCATCTGTAGTATCATATTTAATGCACAAATACGAGTGGCACCAATCTTCTCATCTAAAGGTGGGCACACACTTGATGACTGTTGCATTGATTATGAATAGGATTTGGACGTGATGACTGATTGGACCCAGTTGAACTGAATCCCAATCTGGGTTGCTCATTGTTGGCAGTCAGCAGATGAAATCATGCAGTGTGTGTGACATGTTACGATTCTAATCTTCATTATTAAGATCCAGTTGCTGTCAACTGTTCTCATAAAGATCTTTTAAAACATGTTTAATATTTGCATCTGACATCAGCAACCAGTGATGTCACATACATGTCACCCAAGAATTTGTATGGTAAATAAAAGATAAAGGTTTGAGGATGGTGAGTAAAAAGGACTGTAGTATGAAAGTTCACTGAACACCTAAGTGGCGGGAAAACTGAGTGAACTGTGTGGCAGGATACATATCACATCGGGACTGATACATTTCAGTTCCCTCTGTAATCCTATGTAATCTTGTAATCCTATGTACAGTTCTCATAATACATCCATAAAAATAACAATGCAAGATGGTTGTGTCTATATTTGTTTTGGTACAAGTACATGTGAGAATTGATGTGATCTCATGGGATTTACTGCCGGAACTTTCTGCCTCTCCAGTCTTATAAAGTTTTAGCCAATCGTCAAGTGTGTCCCTGCCTTAACTCACAGCAGGAAAGTGAAGATGTTTATTTTCCAAAAATTTAATGTTGCTTTAAACATGCAGGGTTTCATTTTATTTTAACAAACACAAGATAGAATCATAAGCTATTTTTGTCAATTTTTGCAGTTTAGGTCCCTATTGTAAAGTGTATGGCCATAAATGGGCTGGACACAGTGAGAGTGAGTGTATTGCAATGTACAACTTGTCAGAATAAAAGGCTTGAAGTTCCTCCAGGTGTTGACAAGTTGTACTTTGTTTCATAATTTATCACTCACATTGTGTAAAGGGTTGCTTGTATGGCTTTTAGTTTGTGGGTGGGGTTTTTCTGGTTTTTAGTTAGATGCTTAGAGTCGTAGCAACACAGTTTGGTTGTTGTTGTTGTCATCGTAGTTTCGTCCTGTTGCTTTTCTTCCTCCCTCTTTCACGGTTTGTAGTGCCCGCTTTGTGCTCTTTTGAACTTATGGTACTTTGTGATGGTTATGGTGTGACAGCTTGCCTTGCTGAGTTTGCTTCCCGCAGTCTTTCCAAGTGTACTTTTTGTTCTGGGATTTTGCATCTGCAGCTTCTGTGTGCTCACCTTCTCCTCTCAGTCTTTGACAAGTCTCGCTCAGCAATGACTTAGTAATCATCTTGTCTATAATTCATATCAGAAGTGTGACTGTGTGTGTGGGTGTGCGTGCATGTGTGTGTGTTGGGGGGGTGTATGTATCATCTTTATCACCTTCATGTCCATGAATGGAGAATATAGATGCTACTTTCTATTCAAGAGACTTTAATTCAACTCAGTACAAAGAAGAAGTACACACACACACACATTTGTCCACATCCACACATGCACAGTTACAGATGAAGCATGGTAGTGTGACAGCACTTACTTATATCATCTTCTTCATACCATCCATCTCAGCATGCCTTTTATTTCTGTTTTCCAGATCATAAATGTATAAGGTCAATAACAGCCCAGAGTCAGAGTCTTCTAAATCTAAATGATTTATTCTCCATCATGCTGTCTTCCACCCTTTTATCCATCCATCCATCCATCATCCATCTTTTTTCTGTTTTTTTTTTTTTACGTATTGTTCCCTTGCCCATCCACCATTCTCCAGGCAGCCTCGGACCCTGGAAACACCTGAGTGTCAGACTCTTGCCAGGAAGCTTTCTGACATTGGCAGGTAAGGCATATATTGTAGGTCACTTACAGGAAGAACTTACACAACCACAAAAGAAACCATCTTTTTAAAGTTAGCTTTAGATTAAAGCAGGGATTGTGAATATTTTCCTGTTATGGCCTTTTGCATAGACCCACAATAAACCTGGTTTGATTTTATGAATAGTTTTATGTTGACTCTTCTGAGACATTTACTGTGTACCCAGATAACTTAGCTAGACTTTGATGACACTTTAAATTTTAGAAGTTTTTTTAAGGTGACTCCATGTAAGCATAAATATGATATCCATATGATGTGTTAGCCTTGTCTCTTACAATTTCTATTATACAGCTAAATTTGCCAGATATGCTACTATGATTTTTAGGAGACATGGTGTTAAGATATTGCTCCTTCACTGACATTCTTAAACAAGCTCAAGCCATTTCTGCTCTCTTCATGCAGTATTTACTATCAATGTATTTTAATGTATGGTTAATATTGCTCAACCAATTAAGAATAATATGTACCTACAAGAAAGAGCTTTTGCTAATGTTTCATTTAACACTGTGTGGAATATCTTTTATTTATATGTATTCTGTAGCTTTTTTCCCCTCCCCTTTTCCTCAACAAATCTTTCTTGTCTTTCTCGTTCTTGTTCCTGCATGCTGCTGCTTACACACAGTGTTGCTCAGCTTTGGGTTTGTATGGCACTTGTGTGACTGCGCACATTTGTGTGTGTACTAGTATCAAACTTACCTCCGTATTAAGGATCTCCAGAGGGAAAAAAAAGTTCCACTTAAAGCCTTCGATAAGGGTTAACTTAGAGAGCAACCCTGCACTGAGCCACAGATGCAGAGTCAGATCCTGTTTCACTGTTTGTACTGTGCTGGAGACGGACAGGACAGGGCAACTCTTTCACTCCTATGAACAGTACAGTTTGTGTATGTGTGTGCGTCCTTGGTTTGTCTTTGTCACAACATAGCTTCTGATGCTGCTACTGTTCTGTGTTTGCGTATTTAATGTACATTAGATGTGTTGTATTGACCTGTGTGGTTTCAAAGATCATGGTGTCCTTGCTGAGTGGATATGTGACCGTTGTGAACATTCAGTTGACCTGATTGGAGCAATGTGCCAAAATGCATAAATTACACAGTGAAATAGAAAAAGAGGTTTTGATGAATGACCTCTGTTTTTAGGTCTTTTGTGAGAATGGCTTCAAATGAATGAATGTTTGCAGAAATGGTGGTGCTGGTGCTTAAGGTTTTTCACTTCCTCCATGTATTGTTTTACTGTCTAAATCTTTGATTAGCTGTTCTTTTGGTAACAGGATTCCTCACTCTCTAACTCTGAAGAAGCTTCGATTTGCTCTGATTTGTGAATATGTTGTTGCCACTGATTTGTCACCAAAATATTGCTGCTGTTCTTCAATTTACATGACTGAAATGTTTCCTTTCACTTAATATGCAACATCCTCTTTTATGTTATTCATGAAGAAAAGAAATATGAAATGACAACACAATCTGCTGGTTAATAGCTGTTTGCCTGCACACTTTTTGTATTACTTCAGATGAATTTCAACCTTTTATACTGTAAAAATTAAACAGTGTGAATAGAATTAACCTAATAATTGTGAAAAAATGTGCTGTAGTGTACATCTCAGACCACAGATAATCTGACTGTCATTTTTTTCCTCTTCTTATTCCCACTTTTCTTCTTTTTTGCTCATTGTTCATCTTTTCTTTTTCTTATCAACTCTTTCTACTTTTCCTACTCCTACTTGCTGCATCTGTTTCTGTTTTTTTTTCACTTTAATGTTATTTTGTGTTAGGGGCCACCTCCAAGGTGATGCGTCTCTTCCCTCCTCAGTGACGTCCTCATCAGCTCGCAGAATGAGGCAACTCCCACAGCTTCCCCCTAAGAGCAGTACCGTAGGACAAGGTACAGTATATCTTAACGACAATGGGTGTTCTTGTACTTGCTACATAGTTAGGACCAAAAATTTTTTTGAAAGTGAGGACATTTTGGCCAGTCCTCACTTTCTGAAACACCTCTTTGACTTGGTTTTAGGGTTCAAGTTAGAATTAAGTTGAGGTTAGGTGTTAGGCTAAGGGTTAGGCATTTACCATAGTTTTGATGATTAGAGGCTAGAGGAGGATATATCTGGCATCCATAAAGGCATAACAGGTACAGCGCTGATGTTTTCCCAGATAACAAAACTGATGTAGTGGGAATAAAATCTTGTTACAGATGCATGTTTTTAGACTAGTGAATCCCCTTAAATTTCTTGCTTACTACAGCATAAGGAATGTAAGGGATTATATTGTATGTGTAGTATCCTCTAGGGCTTCTATCTCCAAATGACTTGAATTGCATGTTAGAATTTTAGGAAAACAAATAAATCCAGAAGTCACACTGCAGGTAAATCCTATAGCATTAGCTGCACATCAGTGATTTACCTTCTCTCATGCCCATGTGGGCTCCAATATGTTGGGAAAACAAGCAAGCCTGTTAAAATATGTATCTTGGAGCACAAAAGTGTCATACACAGAAAATATTTGAAGTCACTTGTTGCTAGGCCGATAATTCAGTCTGAACATTGTCATTTTGTACCATACAGCAGAATACAAAACCACTCAGAGGTGGTAATGTTGATCAAAAACTGCTTAGATCCTAATTTAAATGGATCTTTTACATGAGAACACTGGTTGTAAAGAGGAATTATCCTTGTCATGTTTTTTGTAACAGCCCACTGTCCTGCTTGTGGTGGCTGGCATTATTGCTTTTTTGTTTTTTGCACTGGTATATGGGTATTTGTATGTATATATGAGATTTACACCTTGCTTAATAGGTCTTAGTCAGTGCTGATGGTTTGCCACTCATGCATGTTTGGTGATCACACCTAAGTGGTTAATGAGTTCATGTGGAGCACCTTGTCTCAATAGGTCCTTATCGATAGTGTATTTACTGTATGTCTGTAGAATTAGTTTTCTATGTATGTGACATACAGTTTTTAGGCAACACATACCTGACATCACATTTTGATTTAAGAGCGCAAACCTTGCAGCAGATTTAGATTTTATCCATAAAGACATCCCATGTGCAGTGTTGATCTTCATTGTAGTTTTCTGATGTTCTAGATAACAAAACTGATGGATACATGTTTTCCAGGCTGATGAAATGCTAAATAATAATGATTTTAAATATAAAAAACTTGGCTGATATAAAGTAAGTTACATTCTATTGTGTTTGTTGTTTGTGTAGCCCTTGTAGCAGAGGAGCGTGTTCGTCAGCTCCAGATGAGGGTTCATTCCAACCGGGTGTCAGCTGCCACCACGTCCAGCCAACAGGACCTGGACAGAGCACTCAAGAACAAACGGGAGGTGGGCCACAGTGTTTGATGGCTTTTGGTGTTATTTAGCCTGACTCACCAGGAAATGGACAATAAGGGTTGCAGCCTCCAAACTTGTTTACCTGAATGTAGTACTGGGTAAGGTAGCATTAGCATGAAACAACAAATCAATCTATCCTGTTCCACCCAGCATTCCTTCTCCCTGCTCCACTATGATCTGCTATGTTCCTCCACGCTCTGCCCTGCTCTTCAGTTAGAAGGCAACAAAGACTTATTGATCAAGCAGAAATAATTGAAAATCTCGGATTGGTTAGAGAGGTCAATCCCGCCCAAAATGTTTTAGAAGCTAATATGTCTGCACTGCTGCCAGTGCTGTTCACAGGGGGCTTCGACTGCACCTCTCCACATTAAGACAAATTTTGGATCAGATTTCTACAACAAAAATATTGACTTGTATGATGCGTGTTTCCTGCAGCTCTACAAGGATCAGAGAAAGAGCAGTGAAAATGTTTCCCATAAGTCCTCAGACAGTGATGTCAGTGACGTGTCAGCCATCTCTCGAACCAGCAGTGCCTCTCGCATCAGTAGCACCAGCTACATGTCTATTCAGTCAGAGAGACCCCGGGGTCGCTTCGGGCACACACACACACACACACACACACACACACACAGTCACTCAGACACTAACATAGCTTTTTGTTGTGTTATTGCACATTTATTTTTCAGTAAAGGAATTATTAAAGCATACGAATCAAACTTAGTTTGGTATGACATCATGTGATTAAACTGTATAAATTATGATGACCAGCCGGGCCATGCGTGCAACGGGCCGTCACATGATGAAGAGCACCAGTGTGAGTGGTGAGATCTACGGCATGGAGCATGCTGATGGCAGCCAGTCAGACACGGCGCTTGGGAGTCTGGGGAGTGGGATCAAGAAGCGGCGCTCCAGCCTCAGCCAACGGGTGGTTGCCATCCTGCCATCCAGACGCAGCCGGAGTACCTCGCAACTCAGTTTGACAGGTCAGAGAGCAGACTGACTGACTAAGTATGAGAAATCATTACACAAATGCACACTTAGAAATTAACAAGAACAAGCAGAACTAAGCAAGTAGACAAATAGACAGAGAAACATCATCCAAAAGTTGACTTACATACATCCCTAAATCTTTGTTATCAGTCTTTACTCTCAGCTGTTAAAATATAATTGATGTGCATTTCAGGCATACATCTTGAAATCAGTGATTGTCACATGTTGCTTGCATCACAAGTCAGACCTCCTATACAAAATAAGCCTAAAACCTATTTATAAACAATCACATCCAGAACAAGATGATGTCATTACACAGTAATGTAGAAAACTGAAACATGTGGAGATAAACAAGATAGCATACCTTGTTATCCTGCCTACGCTAGACAACCTGGCCCAGCCGTAGTGAAAATTGTTGTGTATACTGTATTTTTTCACCATATAATAATTTTAGAACGTTAGTGTAATTACTGTAAACGCCGTCCCTGGCTAGTGGTTAAGCCGCAACACTCCCACTGCTGCGGCCCGGGTTCAAGTCAGGGTTGTGTCAAGGGCATCCGGCGTACAACATGCTAAATGTCAACATGTGAGTCGTCAGTGTGACGATTCACTGTGGCGACCCCTAAACGGGAAAAGCCGAAAGTGACTTTCTAGTGTAAATACTGTAAACAAATGATACCATTGCCAACAGTATTGGCAGCATCTAATGGAATGTAGTTTGTTGAATGTAGTGTGATAAACCTACCAGAAGTTTTGGTTTTGTTAGAATATGAACATAAAAAAGCTAATATACTGGAAACTATATATAATTTTCAGCAAAACTGAAGCAGTTTTTGCTAAAAAGGTGGTCTTATAAATTGTTTGTTAAAATGCTTATATATAATTGAAATATTATGTGATTATAGCATCTTTCATATAATTCTAGTGGCAAACATTTTTGTTTGTAGAAAAATGAGACAGTCTCGGGGCTAATAGTGTCTGTTTGCTGCAGTGTCTTTTTTGAAGACACTAACACTGGGGACGCCAGCGTCTGACTTCATATCATCATGCTGAAAAACAGTGCTTCACTAACATCTCAGATTGTAGGGTTCCAGTGTGCTTCACCTCTGACTACACCTGGCATGATTAATGGGCATGGTTTAGTGTTCAAACATGTGCTCCTTTGCACCTATAACCACACACAGCTGTGATGTCACACTGTACTGACACACCCTGACGTACACTTTTACATCACTGCAGCAAAATGAGTCAGTCAGCTAAAACAAGATTTTTTTTTTTTTTACTGCAGTTAAGTTGTTTATTAAGAAATTCTAGCATATACCAGCATGGGTAATGATGATGACAATCAATTGGTGACATTTGTTATCTAGAAATTACATTTATTGTGCCAATATAAAATACAAATAAATAAATGCTGATTTTACAAACACACAGAAAACATCTTATGAATTTACATCAGTACACCTTTCCTCCTTTGTCTACATGCTAATAATTAGTTTTTATGAAGTATGGCCACTTATTAAAATGGGTCAGATCACACATACATGTATATGTGTACATAAAGACTTAAATGTAGATAGACAATAGCCACTAGGTCTCAAGCACTTACCCATTCTTATAGGTTTACCGGTGTATCAAGTATTGCTGTTTATTTCTGATGTTGTTGTTTTTTATGGGCTTTGTTGTTATTGTGTGTGTTATTGCAGAGGCGGCGGGTAAGGTGGCGGACAGACAGAAAGGTAAAGCAATAGTTAGACAGACTGTTTGAGAGGCAGGCAGTCAGACACTGTAAGACAGAAAAAGATGGTCCATAGGTGCATTGTAGCTGCATAATAATCTTAGCTTGATATGATACTATAAACTGTATAAGTAAGAACATTTATATAGTTTATACATTATGCAACAGCTATTCAATAGGAATTCTGTTTCTTCTTCTTGTGGCCTGTAGAGAAATGTTCAAGACTAGGTTTTATTAAATTTAAGAGACAAGAATACTAGCAAAATAAACCAAACTCACACTGACAAGAAACTACAGAAAAAACAACATACTGTAGTAGGCAAAGGTTCCTTGCACCCCCAGCCCTTCCTGAACTCTGTCTCTGGCACATTTCCTTACTCCACCCTCTCCTGTAACCATTATGTTTAATGGCTGGTTCAGTTCTAGAAGAAGCCTGGCTATGTCAAAAATCATTTTCTTAGTAGTCTTATTGTTGGGAGGTAATTGCGACTATTTTAATTTCAGCAACAAAACTGTACCAAATTTAAAATCTAAGTCATGTGTTTATGATAAAAAGTAGCAGGCTTTTAAAAAGTGCTGAACCCTTCCCGTATGGTTGGATGTGTCATGATTCGGTTCCGCTGCTTCCTGTCGCACTTTTATTTTGACCTTATTTCCTGTTTTTGTTTCACCTTAGTTTCGGTCTTTTTACGTTCTTCATCACGCACGTTAGTTTCACCTGCTTTGTATTGTTTGCACCTGTTAGGCAGCAACAATCTGGCAGCGTCCTTGTGGAAGGACGCTGCCAGATTGTTCTAGACCCCAGCTCTGACTCTCCAGCATTATCTATGGGTTTGGTATTTTGTGTTTCTTACCCGGACTGTTTCCTTGGACTATTCCATTCTGCCTTGCCCTCAAACTCGGACTGCTTCTATGTGTATCGGCTTAACGGACTTATCTCTGGACAACGCGGAAAAGGAGGACCCAGAGGAGACCGTCAGCTGGGGCCACCATTCCTGTACCCAGTCTTTGGTGCTGCTTCCTGTCCGGCTTTTATTTTGACGTTACTTCCTGTTTTTGTTTCACCTTAGTTTTGGTCTTTTTACATTCTTCATCACTCACATTGGTTTCCCCACGCTGGCTGCAGCCTCCAGAGCCTCAGCCAGCACCACGCCAGCTGCAGCCACCTCAGCCTGTTCCAGAGATGCAGTCTCCACAGGCCCTCCGGCCTGGGCATGGTGGTGTCCCTGCTGACTCCCTAAAACCCTGGTGTGCCAACAAAGATGTCCCCACCAGGCCCTGCACTAGTCAGTGTGCCGACGCCACCTTGCTGCCTGTCTCTGTCTT